GGCCGGGCCGGGCCGGGCGCGGGGTCCCCTGCGTGGCGGACCCCGCAGTGGCGTGGGCATCTTCAAGGCCGCCGCTCGGGCTGCAGGAACCCGAGAGGGAGCCGTGCCTCCCCGCGCAGAGCTGCCCCGCGCAGAGGAACAGGAAGGGCCCCGGAGAAGCAGTTAGTTGGGGTCGTGGAAGCTTGTTGTGGGCTCGGTGCGGGCACCAGCCACCTTCCCAGCGACGTGGGTGGATGCATGGGATGTGAGGTTGGCCAGAGGAGGGTTCTTCGGCTTCTGGGAGTGGAAGGAAACCGGATCAGTTAGGCCCCAAACCCTGATTTGTTAGCGCGTGGACTGGCTTGTTAGTAAAGACGGTCGACATCTAGCTAGGATAGGGTGTGGTGAAGCCTGAGGCTTCCAAAGTTTGGGGAAGGTGTCAAGAGGAACTACTGAGCGGGCCTTGGAGGCCTGCGATGAGGAGGAGTGTGGTCATACAGCGGAGCCCTGGGGGTTTATTGGAAAACAGCTTTGTGAACCAGCTTCTAAGGTTGTAGTAGTCACAGCGTACTTTGCCTTAGCCATATGCTCTGAGCTCAAGTTTCCCTCTTTCTTCGAACCGTGGGTCGTATCTGCTGCCAAAAAAGATATTACTCAGCGAGGGTTTTATGATTTTATACTGTGGATTTATTATAGCAGTGTGTGTTTTTGATAAAGCTTACTCAGACTCCAAGAGAGTACTTTCTGCATAGGCAGAGGCGTCTTCTGTGAAAACCTTTATCTCGAGCAAACACGACTGTAATACCCGAATGCCCTTTTCTAGTGTGGAGATGTGGTTTAGACAACATAATCCACTACTCAGAAATACCTGTTTTGGATTTCGTCTTTGATTTGCCTATGCCTGACTGTTTTTTTCCTTGTCTGTCGCTAGTCACTTACCTGTATTTACTAATACTGTTGGTTCCTTGTAAAAGTGTTGCACCAGATACTCAAGGGAAGAAGTAAATATAGAGTACATAAATGTGCTTTTTAGATAAAGTAAACGAAACTCAAAGTCCAAATGCCTTTTCTGGGGCCCCCAGGAACTTAGGAGTTTTTCAAGGAAATCGTCATTATTTACCTATCCTTGCCGTGGGGGTGCAGACTTAGGAGTCCACTGGATCCAGGTACTCTTTCCCTTCGCGTGTGAGGGCCCAAAACGAGATGTAATGACTGTCGGGAAGCAGACGGTCCAATGCGAAGTCTTTTTCATTGTCTTAGGAATGTCCTTTGCTTTTCATACAGATCTGTACCAGTTTTGAGGCTTCCCTCTGCTAGTGATAAAAATAGCTTGTTTATAAAAAATATTTTACATGAAGTTATGTATTCAGATTCTAAAGGATTCCCCCTGATGGCTGGAGATTGTTCCCTGGAGGAGTCACTGGAAAGGATCCTTTCCCTGTGAGAATTCTAACTGCCTGTTTCTATGATACACCAGCCTCAGGGGATGAACAGGCACTCTGTCTAGTGTGTGGTAGTTCTTTTCTGGTAGGGACAAACACCTTGTTTGTCTCACGTGTGATCTTAGGAAAAGCTGGCCCTAGAAACAGTCTTGCTATTTTGTTTCCCTTTAAGACTATCTCAGAAAGTGCTTAGAACTGACTGCTACTCTTTTGTGCACCGGTCTTCCATAAAGAGAACAGAAGCTACTGTACACAACAGTCCAGTAAAGTCCTGTCCAAGGGGCTGGAGAGAAGGCTCAGCCGTTAAGAACTGTGCCAAACAATCCGGTGCCTTCCAGAGGACCCAAGTTTGATTCCCAGTACCATATGGCAGCTCACAACCACCCGCAGCTCCAGTTCCAGGGGATTGGAGGCACTCTTCTATCTCCGTGGGCATCAGGCATGCACATGACGCACGGACTTCCATGCAGTTAATTCCTACTTTATCATATATATGTATGTGTGTATATATATATATATATATATATATATATATATATATATATAATAAATTGCTGGGCATTGTGGCACACACCTTAATCCCAGCAGAGAGACAGAGACAGGTAGATCTCTGAGTTTGAGGCCATGTGGGTCTCATAGTAAGTTACAGGACAACCATAGTGAGACCCTGTCTCAAAAATACAAAACAAAACAAAAAGACTATCCAACATAATTAGGTTTTCCTGCATTTTCTAAATCTGACCTATTTAGTTTCTAGAAAAAATCATAGACTGGTAGGTGCCAGCTTCCTTTTGCAGACAATAAACTAAGTGTAGCAAGAGCGGGTGGTTTTGCTCACTGGAAGTGTCCTGAGTTTGGTTTCCCCACACTGGGAGTTCTTTACAGTGTGTGGCAGGACTCTGTTCCCCTTAAGCCACCTTCAGGTGTTTTGTTTGTTGAAACAGGAACCTAACTATGTAGCTAGCTGACTGATACTATATAGCCCAGCTGGCCTTGGACTCAAAGGAATTCTCCTTCCTGAGGCCCCCTCTTCCCCCCCCTCCCCCCCAGTTCTGGGGAAACAAGTGTGCACCCTTATACCAGCTGTAAGATTTAACTTCTACCCCACCTGGTCAGTACTCAAGAAGCTGAGGCAGGAAAATCATGGACTTGAGGCCTAATCTGGGCTATATAGTGAGTTCCAGGCCAGCCAGGACTGTGTATTTAGACTGTCTACCAAAGTGTGTGTGGGGGCGTTAACTTTGGCAGGGGAAGGGATCCATGTTACTCCTGTACTTGATTTAATGTGTGTGTAAGGGAGGGAAGCTTGAATTATTACTGTATGTCTTAAGATATATAGATATAGATAGATATAGACATATTTAAGATGGGGTTTCTCTATGTAGCCCTGGTTGTTCTGGAGCTTGCTATGTAGACCAGGCTAGCCTCCAACTCACAAGAGATCCACCTGCCTCTGCCTCCCAGCTACTAGAGTAAAGTTTTATGTTTTAAGGAGTCTTAACCCTATCCTACTTAATAAAAAGCTTCCTCTCCCAGATAAAGTCTTACCATGTAGTCTGGGCTAGCTCAGAACTCAAAACCGTTCTCTTTAGCCTCCCATAGAACCACAGGTAGGTGCTATCAGGCCAAGCCTGCTTGTGTTATCTCAGATGTTTCCCAAAAAGTAGAGTTTACTTTCTTTTTCTTCCCATAAACCACAATGCTTTTTTTTTCCCTTTCCATATTCTCAAGAGAACTGCAGCCTCCTCTAATAGAGATTACCTGAAAAACTATCTGACCATAAATAAAATATATCTCCTTCTGTGCAGGCTGGCTTCAGTCACTGTGTCGCCCAGCCTGGCCTTTAACTCCTGATGGTCTTCCTGCCCCCACTGCCCAGTGCTAGGATTACAAGCATGAGCTGTCACACTCAGCATTATTATCTGTGTTGCTCAAGAACTGCAGTGTGGACCGGAGGATATAGCCCAGAGATAGGGGGCTTGCCCTGGGCTCCATCTCCAGCACTGGCAAAACAGACAAACTCCAGAAGCAGTTATTACCTATCAAACAACAAAAGTGGGGTGATCTGTCCAATGCACAATGTAGCATGTGATCAATAAATATTTGCTGAATGATTGGAAAGGTGCTCAGCGGGATTGGCAGGAATATAGAGATGTCCAGTATGAAATAGACACTTGTATTGAGTCAGAGAGGTGAGAGGGCTGTCTGTGTTAAGTCTCACCGTGTTAGAGATGCGAGCTTAACCTGTCTGCAGCCTGTCTTTCCTCCCTCACATACACACTTGTGATACCCCCAGCCCCGCCCCCACGCTCTGTCACAAAGGGGCTAATTCTTCCAGGTTTGTTTTTTTCTTTAATATTATATTGCAAATTAAAACCTGGGAGAATGGTCTAAGGTAGATCTATTGTATCTGATTTTTGTCTGTTTTGTTTCTGAAACTGACAGGATCTCTCTTGCCCAAGCTGCCCTCCCTCTTCCTCCTGATTGTTGGGATTACAGACATGAGCAACTCTTCTGGATTTTTAAGCTAAATTCTAATTAAAAATTGTTTGAAACTTGATACCCAGCTCCTGAGTGCTTGTTCCTTGGGATTAAGGAGGAGTAGATGACTAGATACTGTTATCACCAGATCTGTATAGGCTAATTTATTTGGGATGTTTTTGCAACAGGAGCTTCACGTTGCCAGAAGACAATTATTTTGTGAATCATGCAGGACATGGGTGAGCACTTTCACTGTTGCTTATTCATTATTTCAGTCTTCTCTTTTGTCACTCAAAGGCAACTTCACTAGGGTGTCCAAAGAATTTTCCTGATAGCATTTTCTGTCACTGGGAACTGAATAGGTTCACTTGCTGGCCTGCTATGTATTTATTTGTTCTTTAAGACAGGGTCTTGTTATGTACCCTTGGCTTGCTTGGAACTTGATATGTAGAATGAAGAAGCTGGCCTCAAACTCCAGAGATCTCCTACCGCTGCTTTCCGAGTGCTGGGGTTAAAAGCCTGCACCACCACACCTGGCTGGGCACATTTCTTAGCCTGTCTTTCTCTCTCTCCCACCCCAGACAGGCTTCCACCATATAGCTCTGGCTGTCCTGGAACATATCATTTTAGCCAGTATTAACACGTCCTCCAGAGGACTGAGCCTTTGAAGAGAATAGCCCTAGATGCTGGTTAGGTTATAAGAACATAGCCAGTTATTCCACTGTGCCCCTAAGCTTATTTTTGTTGAGCATTGTTGAATTGCAAATCACAGAATTAGATGACATTTGTGGATCAGCTGAGTGAGGTTGGGAAAAATGGTCACATGGCCCCGTCTTATCTAAAACTCACTTTTCAGCCAGTTCCAGATGGTCAGAAGCCTTTTCAGTCCCTCCTCACTCAGGGAAAACGCTCCACAGCTTTTTCTGTACAGTCGGCCATGGTGTTCTGCAGACAGCTCAGTATTGTCAGGACTGAGGTCAGGTTCCTGACGTATCCTGGAGACAGTGTATCTGTCACTGAAAAGAAACATGTAACTTAGTTTTTGCTGGCACCACCTCTTGATTCAAAATAATAGTTTTCTAAATAGGTAAAGAGGTTAATGAAAGAGCAGAAATAACTTCTATACCTTCCTTACAGAGTGTGAAGAGAAGGTCTGCCTATTTTGAATTCCTCTCCAGAGATATTTTCAGACAAATAAAATCTTACTCCAAAAGAATTTGCCAAGTTTTGACCATTTGTACTTGAATCTGTTCCAATTTTATCATTAGGGAAATTGAGATATTATTGCAAAAGGATTTATTCATAACTTTCCAAAAACAAATGATGAAACCTAGATAGTTTCCTAGATAGAATGATTAGCATTGTGCTGTCCAGTAGTAACCACTGCTTGCTGCACATGGCTCTTAGGATTTCCGATGTGAGGACGGAGTTGAGATACAAAGTAAATACCATGTACACATTGGCTTTCAAAAATGACATCTCCATTTTTACGTCTATTGAGGCAGGGCCTCAGCCAACTAAGCCTGTGGTTCATAGAGCCAAGGGATTCCTTGGTGAGCGATCTAACCACTGAGCTATATTCGTAGCTTGACATGACTTCTGCTTTGTTTGTTCGACAGCGTCCTCTGTGGCTTAGGCTGTCCTCAGACTCCTTATGTAGAGGAAGCTGCCTGGCCTTGAGTTTGGTTGTAGGTGGTTTGAGACAGGGTCTTACTTTGGCCTCCAACTCATAATGAATTTGACTGCCTCTGTCTCCTGAATGCTGGAAGTACAGCTTGTGCTATACTATACATAGCTCTATTCTGATCTCTTAAAATGTGGCTGGTAGGCGCTGGAGAGACAGCTCAGTGCTTAAGAAGGTATACTGCATCCATATCAGGAGGCTTACAAGCACTTGTAACTCCAGCTCCAAGGGATCCAACACCCCTGGCCTCCATGAACACCTGCATTCATGTGCACATGTACATAATTAAAATAAAATAAGTAACAATAAAGTGTGGCTATTTAAACCATTGCTTCTGTGGTTCATAGGTTTTATTTGTTATCATTTTATTTTATTATTGTCATGTACATGTGTCCGTTGTGTTTGGGGTGTGTCTGTGTGCTCATGTGCAGGTGTGTGCATGCCATAGCACACATGAAGTCCTCTGTGAAGCACACAGAGAACAACTTTTTGTTTCTTTTGAAACAGTCTCTACATGTAGCCCTGGCTGTCCTGGAACTCGTGATGTAGACTAAGCTGACTGCTTTTACCACTACATTCAGTGCAGAGGACAACTTTTTTGTTTGTTTTTGTTTTTTTGAGTGCTGGAATTAAAGATGTGCACTACCACTGCCCGGCTCTAAGGACAACATTTTTTTTAAGAATTGTTTTATGTGTATGAGTGTCTTGCCTGCATACATATGTCTGTGCACTCCGTGTGGACCTGGTGTCCTCGGAGCCAGAAGAGGGCATCAGATCCCTTGGCACCAGAGTTAATAGGTTGTGAGCTACTGTGTGGGTTCTGGGAGCCAAAGATGGGTCTTGAAGAAAAGCACTGTTCCTTACTGTTGAACCGTCTTCCAGCTCAGAGAAGAACATTTAAGAGGAGATTCTCACAGGCTGGGACAGTGACACATGCTTCTAATCCCAGCACTTGGGAGGCAGAGTGAGACCAGCTTGATCTACAGAGTGAGTTCCAGGACAGCCAGGGCTCTATAGAGAGACCCTGTTTCAAACAAAAGAAAACAAATGAAAAACTAGGCATAGCCAGGTGGTGGTGGCTCACACACGACTTTAATCCCCACACTGAGGAGGCAGAGGCAGGCAGATCTCTGAGTTCGAAGCCAGGCTGGTCTCCAGAGCTAGTTCTAGGACAGCCAGGGCTGCACAGAGAAACTCCATTATGAAAAAACACGACAACAAAAACTAGGCATGATGGCATACACTTGTAATCCCATCATTCAGGGTGGAGGCAGGAGGATCAAAAGAGGGGCTCCCCACCACTGCCAAAAAAAAAAACAGTAAGGAAACTATTCAGTGCCATGTAGTAGAACAGATCAAAAAATGACAAGATCAAAATCTTTTTTGTTTTGTTTTGGTTTTTTGAGACAGTTTCTCTTTATATCCCTGGCTGTCCTGGAACTCATTCTGTAGACCAGGCTGGCCTTGGACTCAGAGATCCGACTGCCTCTGCCTCTGCCTCCCAAGTGCTAGGATCAAAGGTGTGCATCACCACTGCCCAGTGACAAGAAAAATTCCTAACAGTGGGCAAGATGAGTGGGGTACTCAAAGGCTAGGGGATTTAAATATGTTAATTAGTCCCTGGGTGATTTATGTAATCAGTAATTAATATTTGATTGACAGTAATGTCTAGTTAACCATTGCTCTGTATTTTTACTGTCTAAATCTGCTCAGTAGTTAATGATCTGTGTGGTGATATTGTGTTCCCCAATATATTGTGCACCCTAATAAACTTATCTGGGGTCAGAGAACAGAACAGCCACTAGATATAGAGGCCAGAAAATGGTGGCATTCACACACCTTTAATCCTAGCATTTCGAAGACAGAGATCTGTCTGGATCTCTGTGAGTTCAAAGCCACACTGGAAACAGCCAGGCATGGTGGCACACACCTTTAATTCCAGGAAGTGATGGCAGGAAGCAGAAAGATATATAAGGCGTGAGGACCAGAAACTAGAAGCTTTTGGCTGGTTAAGCTTTTAGGCTTTTAGTAGCAGTTCAGCTGAGAGTCATTCGGATGAGGACACAGAGGCTTCCAGTTTGAGGAAACAGGATCTGCTAAGTTATTGAGGTGAGATTAGCTGTGGCCTGTTCTGTCTCTCTGATCTTTCAGCATTCACGCCAATACCTGGCTCTGGGTTTGTTTTTATTAATAAGACCTTTAAGATTCATGCTACAGATCTGTAAACAAGTTTGTCAATTAGTCATAATATATACACAAGGACATATTGCACTGCCCAAGAGGGAATAATCACATTGTGTCATGTGAATCCCGGATTTCTAGTTGAATGTGGTGACACAGGTCTGTAATCCCAGCACTCAGAGGTCTGAAGCAAGATCACAAATTTGAGGCCAGCTATAGAGAGGATTTGTATCCAAAATAAGCAATCACCAGAGGTGGGGGTGGGGGATTAAGAAAGATACTTGTAGATTTTAGCTCCTGGGTGGTGTCTGTTTTAGAAGTCTCCATCGTAGGCACAGAGTGTCTCCAATTAAATCAAATTGTGGTTGTTTAATTTTTCCTAGGGAAATCTCTGATCATAGATTAAAACTAGCTAACTTGTCAGGTGTCTGTGGCACATGCCTTTAATCCCAGCACTTGGGATCTGTGAGTTCGAGGCCAGCCTGGTCTACAGAGTGAGTTCCAGGAAAGGCACAAAGCTACACAAAGAAACCCTGTCTCAAAAAACCAAAAAAAACTAAACAAAACTAGCTAACTTGGAGCTGGAGAGATGCTCATCAGTTAAGAATACTAGTTGTTCTTGCAGAAGACCTGGATTCAGTGGTGACTCAAAACCATCCTTAATTCCATTTCCAGGGCTACCAACACACTCCTCACCTCATGTACCAGGCATGCACGTGGTGCATAGACACACATGCAGGAAGAACACACATACACATAAAATAAAAATTGGGTTAACTTGAATGTCTGGTTCCTCAGAAGCCAGTTACCTTCTACTCTTACAAAGCACAAAGCTGACCCAGGAAGTGCTTTGTCTTTAAAGGTGGCACTTCACCGTCTAACAGGGATTTGTTTGAAGGAATTCATTCATTGACTCATTCATTCACCAAGACATGGTCTCACTGTGTAGACCAGGCTGGCTTAGAACTTGCTGTCATACTCCAAGCTGGCTCCACATCACTGCACGGATTAGAGGGTCCGCCACTGTGCTTGGTTTGGCTTGTCTGGTTGTCAGTGTTCAATATTGAACCTATGGTCTTTCTACTACTGAGCTGTGTCTGTATTTTGAGAAAGTTTCACTAGGTTGCCCAGGTTGGCTTTGATCTCACTTTGTAGCTCAGTTGGGCCTTGAACTTGTGACCATTTCCTGCCACAGTCTCTGAGTAACTAATATTACACAAGCCTGTGCCACCAAGCCTTGCCCCAAAATTATTCATTCTTCAGCAATTATTTATTGGGAGATTAACAGTTATGATATATGTTCCAAGGATAAAATGATAAGTAATCTGGCTTTAGAGTATTTGCCTAGCATCCAAAAAGGGCCTGAGTTTGATCACAAACAAACAAAACCCTCACTAAAACCTTGGTTTTAGTCTTTAGGGGGACAGCCAAAAAGCCATCAGTTAAAGTCTAGTTAGTGTGGTTAGCCCAGCGTGGTGGTGCGTGCCTATAATCCCAGCACCAGGGAGGTAGAGGCAGGGGGATCTGCTTGAGGGTGTTGGTGGACTTGAGGAGGCCTGTGGGGTTAAGGGAGTCAGGAGAAATTAGGACCCAGTTCTGAAATACAGGCTCGGAGGCTCAGGAAGGATGGTAAGACTTTCTTGAGAAGAACTTTTTGTTGTCCTTTTCCATAATCTACTATTTGCGTGTGTATGTTTCAACTTGAAGCAAATTCACAAAGTTGTATGGTCATAGTCTTTTGGTCTCCATGAGCACACACAAGGTACACTTACATATACATATAATATTTCTCAGCCAGCTGTAGTGGCGCACGCCTTTAATCCCAGTGCTCAGTAGGTAGAAGCAGGTGGATCTGAGTTTGAGACTAGCCAGGGCTACATAGAAAGACCCTGTTTCAAAAAATGAAAACCTTTAAAAAGTTCCTTTCTTATTTCATTAGTGTGTGGAGGTTTTCTCCTTTGACCACTTGGGTCCTGGAGATCAAACTCAGTGTTGGCCTTAGAGACAGTAAGTGCCTTTATCCGATGAGCCACCTTACTGACCCAGAATCTGCATCCTTTCAGAAGGATGGAAAGCCAGACTATCTTCCTAAATTCTCCGGTGGTTTTCTAAGACTTCTTTTCTTTCATAAGTGTACATTAAAACTGCACAGCTGCATGGCATGTCCGTATTGTGTCAACTGAATGCAGCACCGACATACAGAGCTGCCTGCCAGGTAGCTGCAGCCTGTATAAAACCATCAAGCTATAGAACTCTCCTTTCTCTTTAGTTTGGAAAAGTTACTTTTCACAAGATGTTAAATTACCATGGAACAAGCTCATTATTGTTGTAAATTAATTAATAAGTGTATATTAATTTTTAAAAATTTTAATTTCTGCAGCAGTATACGTTAGTAGATCTTATTCACATAAATAAAATCTCATTTGAGATCCTTAATGATTTTTTGCTGTTGCTGAGACATGGTCAGGCTGGTTTGGATTGATTTTCTCCAAGATTGAAGATATTTGTTAGAGACTTCTTTGCTGATTGGGCTAGAGAAGCAGGCAGTCTGTGAAAACTATTTGTGTGTGTGACTGTCAGAGATGGCTCAGCTTGTTTGAGACAGGGCTTCTTTGGCTCACTCTGGTGTAAGCCAGGCTGGCTGGCCCAGCAGCTTCCTGTGATTCTCTGGGTTTCACCTCCCGTCTCTTCTGCGGAACGCACAGCATGCGGGGGTACTGGGTCCAGTTCTTACAGAGGTTCTGGAGACCTGAACTCAGGTTGTTCGGCTTGTGTAGCAAGCGCTCTACCTGCTGAGCTATCTCCTCAGCTTGAAAGTTACTTCGAGTGGGGATGAGGTGGTTGAGTCAGGATCTGGCTGTGTAGCTCTTGCTGGCCTAGAATTAACAGCAGTTCTCTTGTTGGTCCCGAGTGCTGGGGTGACAGCTGTGAGCCACCATGCCTGGCCTGAAAGCTGTCCTTTGCACTCACTACTTCAAGGTCTCAATCTAGTGGCTGAGCCTGAAGGGAGCATGGACCTGCTCTGTGGAGGGTGGTTCGTTTGTCTCTGTTCCCTTAGGTTGTCCATCCAAAACTGTGCTGCTCTGCAGTATTAACAGTTCCATTGCACTCGTGATTCGCTCCACCGTCAGTGGTGGGTGTGAACTAGTCACAGGTCTGAATCGTGCTTCTTAGCTGATGTTTTGTGGCAAGTAATACAAATAGGCTACTTCTACCGAGACACGGATGTTGGTGCTCAGGATGGTCTCCGGGGCTGGGGAAACTTGGGATCACTAGGTTAACTAGTCTACCTCAACCAAATAGACGATAAGGTAAGCATTTGAGAATAATAGTGTGTGTGTGTGTGTGTGTGTGTGTGT